AGAGCCTGCCAAAGCGTAGGGGATTACAGACTGGCCTGCTCCCCAGACAGGGAAACAGGTACCATCCTTTCCTGGCATAGCAGAGTGTCACTGGAGGTTTGTCCCTCCCACTGCCTGCTCCCCTCATTGATCTGTATAAAAATGGTCAGCCACACACAAGGGTCCAAACAGTGCCAACAGGCCTTCTGCAAAAGGAAGTGTCACCCACAAGCTCAGGGTCTAACTGGTTGCCATATCTGGGATCAGGAAGGAATTTTCCCCCAGGTCAGATTGGCAGAGACCCTGGGGGGTTTTCACCTTCCCTGCAGCCTGGGACATGGATCACTTGCAGTTTTAAATTAGTGTAAATGGTGTATTCTCTGTAACTTGAAGTCTTTAAACCATGATTTGAGGCCTTCAGTAACACAGCCAGAGGTTAGGGGTCGATGTGCAGGAGGTTAGACCAGATGATCACAATGGTCCCTCCTGGCCTTAAGGTCTATGAGTCTATGAAGGAGGCCCTGAGCACAGACTCTGTTCTAGTAAGCCCAAACTTTGACAAGCCTTTTGTGGTGTTCGCAGATGCCTCTGACACAGGGCTTGCAGCTGTGCTGATGCAAACTGGTGAAAAGGGGAGACACACCCCTTAGGCACCTGAGCAAGAAATTGCTTCCCCAAGAGAAAAATTAGATGACAGTGGAAAAATAATGTTTGGCCATGCTGTGAGCACTCAGCAAATGATGGTCCTTGCTTACCATGTTCAGTTGCTTTACCATGTTCAGTGACCACTCCCCATGCACCCAGCTACAGCAAATGAAAGGGCCAGAGGCCAAACTGCTAAAATGGAGCCTAGTGCTTCAAGATTCTCTATGGATGTGACTCATGTTAAAGGGAATGCAAATTTGGTGCTGATGCTCTGTTCAGGAAACAAGTCAATGGGTCCTCCTATAATGCTGCACCCTATAACACTCATTTCTTTAGGCAGAGGTGAGACAGACATGGCAATATGCAGGATCTGATTGTATTAAGCATACATATTATTGTGGGCTGGGGTGTCTGTAACCTCTCTAGGGTGACAAATTTAAGATCTGAGAGTTCAAAAGGCTATACTGAAAATGTACCAGACCAGAATGCAGGCTTTTCATCCCAAACTTGGAAAGCATCTGCTAAACTGCAGCTTGTCAGTGCAAAGCCTCGTCCTGGGGAACAGAACAAGCTTCTCTTAAAAACTTGTTTTGATAAAAAGTGCCGACCTTGACCCAGCATTGTGTTGTTTACTGAGTCCTTTCCTGGAAGTCACAGAGCTGAACTCTGGCAGCCTCGTTAGCAGAAGATGCTACACATGTATCTAGGTGAGACCTGTGCCTGTGCTGATGGGACTTAAAGGCATTAACGAAATGCATGTGAGAGATTAGGGAAACTCTATGGAAAAGGTTAGACACAAAGGCCTGACTCTCCAGTGCATGGCCCCTTGTACTGTCCTCACACAAGTGCAAAGGAAGTATAAAATGCTACCAGATCAGACTGGGAGCCCTTTACAGCCTGTGCTGGGCTATTTACCTCTCACACCCTGTGAAAGAGTTAATATAGGCCTGAAAGGCCACTTAACCTGTCTTCCTGCGTCTGGAGGGTGGGCCAGGCCTCATTAGAAGTACAGTCCAGCTGGGACAGAGATGACTCTCCCCATAAAGAGCTGGAGAACCCAGCAGTAGGGAGGAGACCCAGAGGAGGTGAGGTAGATTGTTCTTCCGAGGTTCTCTAGGAGGCAGCCAGAAAGACAGCTGAGAAGAGCAGGCAGGCAGGCAGGCTGGCTCCTTCAGGGTGAGTGGGGCCCTGTAAAGCTGTAGCTGCCTGAACCCCTGAGTGAGGGGAGGGTGTGCCAGCCCCAGGAAGGGGCATTGATTGAAGCAGAGAACTCTGTGGTCACACAGGTGGAGAGTCTAGAGCAGCAGAGGTGCTCCCACCATGAGGTGACTGACAGCTGAGTGGAAGGTTTGATTTTGGTCAGGCTTTGAAGCCCCAGCAGGGACAGGTGTCTGTAATGTGCTCTGGTGGGAGCACCAGGTTATTCCTGCCCTGGAGTCGGTATAGGAAGGTGGGAGAAACAGAGGCAAAAAGTGCTGCAATGCCACATCCAGCCAGGAGGGGTGTGTGTTGGGCAGTAAATTTGCCCCCCCCCCTTACATATACACTCAAGGTGTAGGGCAACAGTGAATTGGACCCGATGAGTCTGGGCTCAGTTGCCCCCAGACGGTTGGCTATCTCATTCACACCGGCATGTGCATTGAAGAATCATGTGGATTAAGCTCTCTTCTCTGACTGGGGGCTAGCTGAGCAGTGTAGTAGTGAGAGCAAGTTGCTCACCAGGAGGCTTGGTGCCCAGGCCCACTTGAACTAGCCCACACAGAGAGTGTTGTGAACAAGAGTGCCATACCACTCCATAGCAACTAGGAGAAATAGCCAGGGCACCAGTAGGAAAGAGGAGCAGACCATGTGTTCTAAAAACAAAGGGACCAACACAAAGGATGAGGGAAGGGGACTGTGTCTTGGCAACAGGAGCAAATACTCAGTGGGTCTGTAGCTGGGGTTTCTGCAAGTGCAATTGCCTGGGTGCAGTTCTCAACCCCTATGAAGGGAAACAGGATTTAGGACAGTTGTGTAAACAGAAAATCACACCAGAAATCACAAAGTCTGCATCACCAGTTTCTCTTTTAATAAGAAACTGACCCATTGCAAAGCCACAGAATCTGCTACCACTCTGCTGGGGACTAGGAGATCAGATTAGTACCAAACGAGCACATGGCAGCCTTAACATGCAAAGGTTTCTCCCTGCCAATTTCAACCTCGGTATGTTCAGTTGCAGGGCTCTTCTGCAAGAAAAACAAGGCGGCTGCTGGAGCTATTTTCTAATGGGAAAAGTGACTGTGGGGTGAACCATGGCCAAAAGCACCTGTACTAGTTGCGTTTTGGATACAGATCCCCATAGACAATAGAGGTGCTTGATGCCTAAGACTGGGCCGTAGGCCAGGCTTACACAGAGTTTGCCTGGGTAGAGCTATTGTGGCTAGGGGTGTGATTTTTTTTTAATTACATTACCAAAATAGAAAAGGAGGACTTGTGGCACCTTAGAGACTAACCAATTTATTTGAGCATGAGCTTTTGTGAGCTACAGCTCACTTCATTGGATGCATCCGATGAAGTGAGCTGTAGCTCACAAAAGCTCATGCTCAAATAAATTGGTTAGTCTCTAAGGTGCCACAAGTCCTCCTTTTCTTTTTGCGAATACAGACTAACACGGCTGTTACTCTGAAACCTGTCATTACCAAAATAGTTATAGCAGTCCATCTGCCAGTGTGGCTGCAGGTATGCCCATGTAAGGGTGCTGTGCATTGGTACAGGTCTTCCTGTGGAGACTAAGCGGAATTAGCCATACTGCTATAAGTACAGCAGTATCAATGTGTCTGCACTAAGGGGTTGTACCACTTTAACTCTAGGGGTGTAAGTAAAGCAATGAAGGTTGTGTGTAGACGAGGTGAGAGATGCACAGACAAGTGTGGGGAGAAGAAGAGGACATGCTGTGAATGGTCACTAATGTGGGTTACAGAAGCATCTGGGCTTGATAGGAGAACAGGAGTTGATTCTAGTCTCCTCCTGTAACCAGAGAGGAAAGCTGATCTCTGGGGTGGGAAAGGGTAGGAGTAAATAGGTGTGTCAGGTGTTTGCTTTTATCATCTTTGTTCTCTAATGTTTTGTTCCAGTTGCTAAGTAAAAATAATTCAAGAGACCGGTGGTCAGTGTCACTGATCGCAGATGTCCAAAACGCAGTGGGACCTGCAGGGTAGTAATGGTTAGTGGACACCGGGTAAGGTACTTGTGTCCCGGTCTAAGAGCGGAAGAATTGCAAGATTCTGCCAAGCTGTAGCAACCCCTGCCGTGTAGTATATGGGCCCTGAGACAGGTAGGGGCAGGAGTCCTAAGATGTGAGGTGTGTGCACTGTTAGGGACAGAGGCATAACTAGCCCTGGAAAGGTGACAGTACTGGCTTCCCACTCTGCTTCTCAGATGCAGACAACTGGCTCCTCCTCAAAATGATCCAACACAAACAACCCCCCTGGGTCAGAGACCAGGCCTGGAAGTGCAGAGGGACTATAAACGGGGTTAGAATGGGAGATGGGCTAAAGCCTGAATAAGGCAAATGCAAAACAAGACCCAATTCTCCTCTGTCCCACTAGCCAGTGTGGGAAAGGGAGCAAGCCTGTTTGGTGTGGGTTTGTGGGGTGTCCAGCTGGCTGAGGGCAGAGAAGGGGAGGGGGAAAAAAAGACACAGTAGAAACACTAGGGCTTTCTTTCCCCTGCCCCATGCTCAGACTCCAGCTGAGCTAGCGGGAGCCTCGGAGCCCAGTGTGAACGCTGGCTGAATTCAGTGCTGTGCAGAGTGCAAGGCTGAAGCTTACTGCTCCAACCCAGAGCCGCCAGGGCTCCATTCAGCCTCCTGCCCCAGGCACAGCTAAGGGCAGCCCTGAAATCTGCTGTACCCAGCTTTCCACGGGTCCCTATGGAACTAGTGGCAGCCAGGCTGTAGTTGCCACAGCCATACCCTTTTCTGCCTCTGGAACGCTCCTCACTCACCTAGAATCTGCCCTAAGCCCAGGAGCCCTGTGGGGAGGTCCAGAGCTAGCAGAACCTGCTCTGCACTGGGCAGGGTGACCCTACTGCCCCTGGGGCATTCCCCAAGGGTCTGTGCGGCTGCTTTACAGGCATTAAGGAGCTGCAAAGGGCTGCAGGGTGACAGGGAATCTGGGCAGCCAAATGGGGCTTCCTGGGCCTTTGCTGTATCCTCTCTTTTGGTTAAGAGGGAGAAGGTCGGTGGGGGAAAATTCCAAAGCAGACTCCCTAGTCTGTCCCTCCTCCTCCACAGCCCACGTATCCTGGGCCAGGAGGCTTATTCTGGGGGAGTGGGATCACTGATTCCAGGGGAGAGGGAAGCCAGGGGTCCCAGGCAAAAGGATCCTCAGACTTACCTGTAGGCCAGGCTCATGCACTCAAAGAGCCGGGTGAGGGTCAGGTCGATGGTGCGGGGATCAGCTGGCTCTGACTCAGTACCATGGTGGCGTCGGCGGGGCACCGAGTCGCTGTGCGGCGAGGAGACCATGAAGTGGCCGCTGTGGATGACCTGTGAGTGGGACAGGGAGCCTGAGCCTGGCCCAGCACTGCCCGAGCCCAGACCCTCTGAGTCTGAATCAGAGTCAGAGTCAGGGCCTGACCCAACCTGCGGGTCCGGGAATGGTCCATGCAGCCCCACCTGTGTTCCAGCCATTGTGCCCAGTGTTGGTGGCAAGTAGCCGCCTGCAAGTAAACCTGTCTGAGTACCTAGACAGCCCACATCACAGCAGCCCCACACATGCCAATTAGCATAATGTGTGCTCACCACACCCCCTGGTCAGCCTGTTGCTTCCACACCCTTTCTGTTGCTTGATCTGTCTCCTCTAAGACTCCCTGCTAAGCTTGCAGTTCCCCTGCTGTCTCCCAGTGAGTCCTATTTATAGGGTGTAACCCCACCCCTGCCTCAGCCCTCAGCCTAGCTTCTTTACCCCAGCCATGCCCTTGGGTGGGGCTAGGGGTGGGCACAGGAGTTGAGCAGGGAGTTAACTCCTTATCTGCTGTATCTTGGGAAAAGGTGGGGCCTCTGGGTCACACTAGATTTTATTTCCTTAACAAGCTGCCTAAATTTAAAGGAGAAGCTGCTCCAGCTTCCTCCTGTTCCCAACCCCCCCTAGCTGGGAAGCCAGAGAAAGGACTCACAAGCAGCAGGTCCTCACCCTGCTGCTAGAGAGCTCAGTCAGCTTTGTTTACCTTGGCTCAGTGGCTGCTCTGCCTGCGTGTGGAAGAAAAATACATGGTATTTACCTAGCGCCTCTGTACTAATGTATCCCCCAACACTTCCCGGGGAACAAATACAGATTAAGGGACAAAAACAGAGGAGATTATAGCAACCAGGGTCCAGCTCAGCACAAAGCAGGGAACAACTCACTGAGCCATGCCCCAGGGCCCTGGAAACAGGGTGAGAACCTGCTTTAAATTGGCTTCTCCAGGGTCTTCCTCTGAGCCAAGGGCAAAGATACAGACAGGGTCTCCCTGGGGACCTCTGAGGAGGCAAGGACTCAGAGAAAGATCGGTAGACCTAGTCCATTCAGGGCCTGAAAAGTTAAAACAAAAAAGTCTTTGAAAATCTCCCCCTAAGATGGATCCTACCTGCTTCTGGCTTTCAGCGGGAGTCAGGCAGCCAGCTCCATGGGTGCCGTTGAGAATCTCCCCCTTAGACCCAGGAGGTGTCTACAGGGCAGCCAATGAAGGTAGCAGTGGGCAGGCAGGACCCTCTGCCCAAGTCTCCATGCTCGGTGTTGGCTGTGGATGATAGTCTGCATAGGGGGAAGTCTAAGGGGGGTGCAGTGCTGTAGCCAGACCTCAACTGAATAATTAATATTAATGAGAAGAATTGCCCTAGCATCACAGAGCTGCCAACAGAAAAACAGCTAACAGGAGTTTGGAGGAGTGTAGAGAGAGGGAGTGGGAGAGGTTTTCCTTCCAGGTTCAGCATCACATGTGATATCAAAATGGCCAGCAATGGAACAGATCCCTATGGAACAGAATTCTATGATTCTATGAGATGTTAAGAGTAACAAGAAGGGTTTATTCAGGTATGTTAGCAACAAGAAAGTAGTCAAGGAAAGCGTGGGCCCCTTACTGAATGAGGGAGGCAACCTAGTGACAGAGGATGTGGAAAAAGCTAATGTACTCAATGCTTTTTTGCCTCTGTCTTCACGAAGCTCAGCTACCAGACTACTGCACTGGGTAGCACAGCACTGGGAGGAGGTGACGAGCCTTCTGTGGAGAAAGAAGTGGTTCAGGACTAATTTAGAAAAGCTGGACGAGCACAAGCCCATGGGGCCGGATGCGCTGCATCCGAGTGTTGTTCCTTGACTTTAGCAAAGCTCTTGATACGGTCTCCCACAGTATTCTTGCCAGCAAGTTATAGTCCATTCATCCAGCCCATACTACTCTAAGGTGGATAGAAAGCTGGCTAGATCATCGGGCTCAACGGGTAGTGATCAATGGCTCCATGTCTAGTTGGCAGCTGGTATCAAGTTGGAGTGCCCCCAAGTGTTGGTCCTGGGGCTGGTTTTGTTCAATATCTTCATTAATACCTTCATCTGGAGGATGGCATGGACTGCACCCTCAGCAAGTTTGCAGATGACACTAAACTGGGAGGACAGGTAGATATGCTGGAGGGTAGGATACAGAGGGCCCTAGACAAATTAGAGGATTGGGCCAAAAGAAATCTGAGGTTCAACAAGGACAAGTGCAGAGTTCTGCATTTAGGAAGGAAGAATCCCATGCACCGCTACAGACTAGGGACCAAATGGCTAGGCAGCAGTTCTGCAGAAGAGGACCTAGGGGCTACAGTGGATGAGAAGCTGGGTAGGAGTCAACAATTTGCCCTTGTTAAGAAGGCCAATGGCATTTTGGGATGTATAAGTAGGGGCATTGCAAGCAGATTGAGGGACGTGATCATTCCCCTCTATTCCACATTGAGGAGGCCTCATCTGGAGTACTGTGTCCAGTGTTGGGCCCAACACTAAAGGAGGATGTGGAAAAATTGGAAAGCATCCAGCAGAGGACAACAAAAGTGTTTAGGGGACTGGAACTCATGACGTATGAGGAGAGGCTGAGGGAACTGGGATTGTTTAGTCTGCAGAAGAGAAGAATGAGGGGGGATTTGATAGCTGCTTTCAACTTCCTGAAAGGGGGTTCCAAAGAGGATGGATCTAGACTGTTCTCAGTGGTAGCAGATGACAAAACAAGGAGTAATGGTCTCAAGTTGCAGTGGGGGAGGTTTAGGTTGGATATTAGGAAAAACTTTTTCACTAGGCGGGTGGTGAAACACTGGAATGCGTTACCTAACCTTAAAAACTTCTAAGGAAGGAGATTCCACCACCTCCCTAGGTTTGACAGAGCCCTGGCTGGGATGATTTAGCTGGGGATTGGTCCTGCTTTGAGCATAGGGCTGGACTAGATGGCCTCCTGAGGTCCCTTCCAACTCTGATATTCTATGATTCTCTGTGCCTGCCATGCTTTCTTTCCTGTGCATGAAATGCAAGTTGGTGGCTGTCAAGGTTCCTCCCCCACTCTGAACTCTAGGGTACAGATGTGGGGACCTGCATGAAAAACCTCCTAAGCTTATCTTTACCAGCCTAGGTCAAAACTTCTCCAAGGTACAAAATATTCCACCCGTTGTCCTTGGATTGGCCGCTACCACCACCAAACTAATACTGGTTACTGGGGAAGAGCTGTTTGGACGCGTCTTTCCCCCCAAAATACTTCCCAAAACCTTGCACCCCACTTCCTGGACCAGGTTTGGTAAAAAGCCTCACCAATTTGCCTAGGTGACTACAGACCCAGACCCTTGGATCTTAAGAACAATGAACAATCCTCCCAACACTTGCACCCCCCCCTTTCCTGGGAAATGTTGGATAAAAAGCCTCACCAATTTGCATAGGTGACCACAGACCCGAACCCTTGGATCTGAGAACAATGAAAAAGCATTCAGTTTTCTTACAAGAAGACTTTTAATAACAATAGAAGTAAATAGAAATAAAGAAATCCCCCCTGTAAAATCAGGATGGTAGATATCTTACAGGGTAATTAGATTCAAAAACAGAGAACCCCTCTAGGCAAAACCTTAAGTTACAAAAAAAGATACACAGACAGAAATAGTTATTCTATTCAGCACAATTCTTTTCTCAGCCATTTAAAGAAATCATAATCTAACACATACCTAGCTAGATTACTTACTAAAAGTTCTAAGACTCCATTCCTGGTCTATCCCCGGCAGAAACCAGCATATCGACAGACCCTTTGTTTCTCTCCCTCCTCCCAGCTTTTGAAAGTATCTTGTCTCCTCATTGGTCATTTTGGTCAGGTGCCAGCGAGGTTACCTTTAGCTTCTTAACCCTTTACAGGAGAGAGGAGCTTTCCCCTGGCCAGGAGGGATTTCAAAGGGGTTTACCCTTCCCTTTATATTTATGACACGCCCCCCAAATCTCAGCTAGGGTGAAACACTGGCTGGGATTTCTTCCTGGAGCTCTAGGAAAAACAGAGTTAAGAAGACACATGCATCTCTAAATATACTACCAAGTACATAAAGACTAACAATATTTTCCACATCTCAAGGACGATTTTAACCAGTTGATTCTGGGAAACTTCCACGGGAGAGTGCATCAGCCACTTTGTTAGGAGCTCCTGAGATGTGTTGGATGTCGAAATCAGAATCTTGGAGAGCTAAACTCCACCGAAGAAGTTTTTTGTTAGTTTCCTTGACGGTGTGAAGCCACTTCAGTGCAGCATGGTCGGTTTGCAGGTAGAAACGCCATTCCCAAACATATGGGCATAGCTTTTCTAGAGTGTAGACAATGGTGTAACATTCTTTTTCAGTGACTGACCAGTTGCTTTCCCTCTCAGACAGTTTTTTGCTGAGAAACACTACAGGGTGGAATTCTTGATCAGGTCCTTTCTGCATTAAAACTGCTCCCACACCACGCTCAGATGCATCTGTGGTTACTAGGAACGGTTTGTCAAAGTCTGGGGCCCTTAGTACAGGGTCAGACATGAGTGTTGCTTTAAGCTTGTTAAAGGCCTTCTGACACTTTTTGGTCCACTGAACAGCATTTGGCTGTTTCTTTTTGGTTAGGTCTGTCAGTGGGGCAGCGATTTGGCTGTAGTGCGGTACAAATCGTCTGTAATAACCAGCCAAGCCTAAGAAGGATTGAACCTGTTTCTTTGACTTTGGGACAGGCCACTTTTGGATAGCATCCACTTTGGCCTGTAGGGGGCTGATAGTTCCTTGACCCACCTGGTGTCCAAGGTAAGTCACTCTGTTTAGGCTTATTTGACACTTCTTAGCCTTAACAGTTAGTCCTGCCTCCCTTATGCGCTCAAGGACTTTGTGTAGATGTTCCAGGTGGTCTGCCCAGGAATCTGAAAATATGGCCACATCGTCAAGGTAGGCAACTGCATATTCTCTTAATCCCGCTAGGAGACCATCTACAAGTCTTTGGAAAGTGGCGGGTGCATTTCGCAGCCCGAAAGGGAGTACATTAAATTCATACAGCCCGAGATGTGTGATGAAGGCTGACCTTTCCTTGGCAGATTCATCTAGCGGTACCTGCCAGTACCCCTTGGTTAAGTCCAAGGTAGAGATGAACTGGGCCTGTCCCAGTTTCTCTAATAGTTCATCTGTGCATGGCACTGGATAGTTGT